GTCCCCGTGTCACCCTGGCCGTACCTGCAGCAGCGCCGTGGTGCTGCGGTCGCCCTGCAGCAGCCGCCCGTAGAGCAGCACCCACTGGCTGACGAGCCGCAGGATTTTCCGCCGCTTCCGCAGGGAATAGGCGGCCTTGTCCTGCTCCGAACCTTCCAGAGGCTCCGCGCGGAAACTGGGACCGGTCAAGGGCACCAGTAAAAGGTGGAGAGGGGCGGGGACCCCCAGGGATGTCACCCCGGGGAGATAGGGACGCGCCGAACAGCCTAAAAGGGGATTTGGGGCTCCCCCAGATGACAACGAGTCCCCAGCCCAGTCCGCCCAGTTGCGGCAGCAGAAGGATACTGGTGCAGCAGGGCCCGGCAGAGCTGCGAGGTCGGCATGAACACGGTGTAGGTGAGCAGGAAATCCCCCAGCAGCGTGTCTGGAGGGAGCGGGGACACCGTCACTGCTGTCCCCAACGCGCTGGGGACACGGGGACAGCAGCCAAGGGTCCCCCGGTGCCCTGCCCGGGGTGTCCCCAACACGGGGAGAACAGCCAAGGATCCCCCGGTGCTCTGTTTGGGGTGTCCCCAACACGGGGACCCTGCCCGGGGTGTCCCCAACATGGGGAGCACAGCCAAGGGTCCCCCGGTGCCCTTCCAGGGGTGTCCCCAACACGGGGACAGCAGCCAAAGACCCCCCCCGTGCTCTGTTTGGGGTGTCCCCAACACGGGGACCCTGCCTGGGGTGTCCCCAACACGGGGACAGCAGCCAAGGGTCCCCCGGTGCTCTGCCTCGGGGTGTCCCCAACACGGGGACTCTGCCCAGGGTGTCCCCAACACGGGGACCGTGCCCGGGGTGTCCCCAACACGGGGACCGTGCCCGGGGTGTCCCCAACACGGGGACCCGCGGGAGGGGCCGGACGCTTCGTGTGGGAAGGAAAATCGCGGGGATCCGGCAGGAGGCGGCCCCGGCTGGGATTTGTGACCCGCTGGGGACATCTCCCGGCTTTCTCCTCTCCGGAGGCAGAGGGAGACCGAGAGGCGCCGCAGAGGAGCCGCTCCCGGCCCGCAGCTGCCGCCCTCTCCCGGCCTCGCCTTTTGGGATTTTTATCCGTTCCAGGGCAGGATTTGGGGTTGGAGGAGCCCCGCTCCCGGGTGTCCCCATCTCCGGGTGGCTCGGACACCCGCACCTACCCACGGGGTCGTAGAGGGTGGCATCGAGCCTCATGAACTCCAGCAGGTGCTCCAGGATCTTCTCGGGGGTCCCGGCCATCACCAGGTACCTGCTGGGGACAGCGGGGACAGCTCGGGGTGAGGTCCCCGCTCCTCTTTGTCCCTTTGGTCCTCCCAAAAAGTGCCCCAAGGGAGGCTGGGGGGGCAGAGGAGCGGTGGGGGCTGCTCGGGGGACAGGGACAGGGACAGGGACAGGGACAGGGACAGG